GACTTCATATGAGGCATGCAATTGTTTTATAATGCGATTTTCTAATAGCGAAACGTGGTTGGAAAAAACGGGAATGAAATCCAATTTCGTTGATGCTGTATAACAGTAACACTATGGTGAATGGTACTGCCGACAATACGCCATGTAACCTACCGAACAAGTTAAATGCAGCCCAGGGTGGTGCGTAAACTAAGAGAGTCGTTTATAATTATGTGTTTCGCTTTTTAGACTCATCTGGCTTTTCGTTTAGAAAAAATATCGAGGTATTTCATATAATGGTAAAATAATTTTCTGAGGACGATGCTAAGTAATAAAGCATTTTTCGGTATGCTGCTCATGAAGTCGAAATTACACACTTTTTTAAGTTAAAAAACTCGGGTCATGACTTGCATAGATACAAATGACATGTTGTGAACGACATGATTGTATGTGTATTGTAATTATAATCTTTGTTATATTATTCAAGAACATGGTATTTGACTTTCATCATAGCATAGTCGCCTGATGAGCGGCTATTGTTGTTTTAAACTGTATTTATAGTATATGAAAAAAGTGATACCCTATTCTCTGTTTGATTTTATCTTTAATTTTTAAAACATTTAATAATTGAATATTTACAACATCAAATATTGCTGTCACTCGAATTCTGGCAATTGATTAGTAAGTCACACAACCATACAGATACGCTGCTCTATGTAGAACATGCTAGTTTGTGGTGATCTATATCTAGTTTCGTACGTCGAGTAATTTTAAATTAATAAGTTTAAAAAGAATAATGGCATTGGAGAGTTAATAAATTATACCAAGTTATATAGTTAAAATATGTTATTTATTGTTAGATTACACATAAAATATTGGTGTCAACTGCGGGGCATTGTTTATACGACATTCGAAAGCACAATGCATGACGACTGTAAGTAAAATACATTTCAATAAAAAAAATACCCAAGCAATGAGAACTGTTGTCATGGAAACAGTTGTTATTTAGATTAAACTCGTATGTATTATAATTCTGTTCAATGCAAGCATAAAACAAGATGTTCATTTCAAGCCATTATTTTCTCAAGAGTTTAATCTACGAGACATGCAATGTACAAGTTGAAAATAGTTCATTTATGCATCCTACAATACTAATTTAAAAATGTCCAATACTAAAATTGTTCATAAATTGTCTGCGATTATTGTAATGAGCAATCCGTCATATATCGGAGACCCTCAATGTGTCAGATTCAATTTCTGTGTCATAATGATATTGTCGCCCTTTCACAGAGTCGTGTCGTATTTCCACCCCATTATCTCACAAAACAAATGTCACAGTTCCAGTAATTGAATATGACTGAGTACATCTTACCTAGCCAAGGTTGATTTATTAGCACATCGCCCCCAGACGACCGATACGTTCTTCTTTCCCAATTTAAAAAGTGACAGCCATATTATATATGAAGTGTTCACTTGCATATGTTTTACACGTAATCAAACAATGCTCAATGTCATTGTCAAGTTCGACTCTTTCCAATCCTCATATACGAATCTGAGGGTCTCATAAAGTACGTGTTAAGGTAGAAGCCCACTCATAAATTGTAATACCCAGAATTTAATCATTTGACAATAAATTGAACTCCAAGGCAATATAAGAATATTGACCTAAAACAAGTTGGGGGTCACCAGCCTTATTTTTGGGAAATTAATGGTTGTAATTTTTAGTGAAAGGTCGCCATTTTGACACTATTATAATACTTTTAGCATAGGAATTACCATAGGTTCCAGAGATATTATACAATATCTCAAAATCTGGCCTGGTGACATAGGCTGAAAAATTATATATTGTTAATGGTGGAGTAATGTTTGTTGTTCTGGATTATTTAAAAATCTGGGTTTTAAAAAGTGTCAAAAAATGCAATTTTTCTTTAACATTGTGTTCTGTGAAATTGTTCTAAAAATAGCGATTTTCAAGAAATATTAGGGCACGTTTCTGCAAAAAGCTTAACTGTAACCCACAAAATAATACTATTTCACTG